TCGTTCCGTCACTGTATAGAACGTCGTGTCGAATAACCGTCGGACCTTACACGATCCGTAAGCGCGCTCGCACGCTTCGACCGTTTGCGAAAACATTACGCGACTTAAGGAACGATCGCTTAGCGGTCCGGACGATCCGATCGCCGATAAGTAATCGGACAACTGCAGCAGGGGCCGACCAGAAGAAGAAGTAAGACGGCGTGCGCAGCCGAAAACAGTAAAAATATCCGAGCGTAATATTATCGAGTATCTTTGTACGATACGTACAAATAACACAGACGCGGAAACGATATTATAATGTTACACGAGACTACGGCCGGTTCATTCGGCTTTTTTTCCCCTTTCTCTCTCTCTCTCTCTCTCTCTCTCTCTCTCTCGATCGTCTCGCGCGCGCTATATTTTATTATAATAACAAAATTATGAATGAACAATGTTTTGGCACGAATATGCGCTCGCGTCGAGACGACGGCGTATCATTTCTTATTGCGTTTGTACGAGTGTCTATATACAGTATACCTACCGGCGGACGGGCACGGGGACGGGGATGTGAGCGGTTTTATCCCGCGTGTCCGTCCGCTCGAAAACGAAAACGAACAACATTTGTGTTAACAGTAATTTAATCTCGAAATCGCATACGCGGTTCGAGTTTCGCGTATAAAACTCGTTGATTTATCGAATTTATCGGCTCGCTTCATTTTTTTTTTCCCCCGGCACGGCTTTCGAATGTGGTGTTCTCGCTGTCGACGGTCGGGCGCACTCGTCACGTACGACAAAGGAAGATCCTGTACGGTTTATGATTCACGAATCGCGATCGACTACACGGGGCACGCCGCGATGACGTTGTTTTTGTATACGATTCGCGTGCCGTTTAGTATCATTGACCGATTCACCGGCCGTCGCGTTACATATTATTACCCGCAGAATGATTACCCACAAACGTTTCCGATTCGGAAACAGAATTCGGACGACGGCGACGACGACGACGGGGGAAGGGAGCTTTTGCCGCGTTGCGCGACGCATATTGTTTAATTTTTTTTTTCCTCTCGGCAGGGCCGCACATTTCCACGCGATAACAATGAAAAATCGACCCACAATCGAACAACGTGCGTACGCGTACCAGACATAACGCCCGAACTGGATTGACGACATTACGTCGAGTACGATGACGTTTGAATTATCGTTATAATACATTACGCAGGGCCCGGGACGTGACGCGCCAGCGTTTTTATTCTTATTTTGCTCTTACGACGCGTTGCTCGCGTCCACGCTCGTCCATTCCACGTAGTCTCGCGGTGACCGTGCGTATAGAACGGGCTGATGACGAGGTACAATTATTATTGTTTTTGATATTTTCACGTGTTCATTATTTGACGGTTATCGTTTTATTACGCATTTCGATACTTTCCGACGGAATAGATTGTTTGCGTTTTCATCATACTTCGGGCCGCTTTTTAGATCATTTCGGTGGTTTTTTTCGAAACGGGCGGCCAGGTTACACGGTACGTGTTGGAAATAAATAATTAGGCAAAATTATTGATGTATTCAATATAAAAAATATATATTTTTATTATAATCGATTTGTATAGGATTTGAATATGACTTTTACCGATTGCAGTTATTTTTATGTTTTTTTACGGTGAATTAAGACCCGGATTTAATTGCCCTAAAAAGCAATAAAAAAAAAAAAAACCTTTTAGAAAATAGCCAAAAATTATGACTTTTTGCGAAACAATTGAATAATGCTTTTGAATAATGCTAAAAACGGAACAACGGCGAAAAATGAACATTAAAAGTTTCAATTGTGTTATGTGTTTGAGCCGGGTGATTCATCATACAGTATATTCAATAAAGATAAGATAAAACCGTTATCGAAATCGTAATAAATAGAATGATTGACAATCTGTGATTGACAATGGACACTATATAGGTTTCGAATTTTTCCATAGATAACATTTTGATTTATTTGAATTCGATAACTGTTAATTCGTATATAATGCAATATGAATTGAAACTAAATTGAAACCAACCAAATAACCGGAGAATGTTCTAAAAATGAAAACGGCGGAGCAAAAATATTTTTATTTTTTTTTTTTCCATCGAAAATGAATTCTGTACTCGAAAAGCCGATGTGTATTCGATCGCCCCGGGAAAACGAAACGCATTTTCCACTGAAATCAGGACTTTGATTGTAATAATATTATAAATATTATGTACAACGCAGTACGCGCGGAAACTGCGAAAAGCGCATCGCTGAAAATCGCGGAGGAATATCGAATGTTATGGGGTTTTCCTCGCAGCCTGTACGGATAACAAGTGAGCGGTCAACTGATTATATGATATTATGACGACAATCAATGTTCGTCCGAACATTTTCCGCCGTTTTTCACGTTCGAAATTGATGTTTTTTTTTTAAAAAAATGATGATTATAATGAAAATTACGAAATAGATAATTTCACGATAAATATTCGTTTTGTAAAAATTCAATTGCGAACGTAAAAAAATCGTGTGAAAAATCGCTGCTGTATCGATTGGCCATCGCACTGTCTTATTCTTCGTGTACAGAAAAAAACAGGACGGAGGCCGGACGGGTCACGGGCGCCCGGGTTTTCGGTAATATAACGAAAATAATAATTTTGTTATGTTTTTACAAAACAAAAGTCGTATGAAAAAGAATATCAGACCTCGCGGAAATTCGGCGAATATTTCTCCCCCCCCCCCCCCCC